TTTTTATCTTTTTTTTTAATTTTTTAATTTTTAATTTTTATATTTAAATTGATGTATTATTTTTTTAAAACTAATGGTTAGTTTGATTTATTTAATTCTCTTCTTTTTTTTCTTTTTTTCTTTTTTGGTTTTTTCCCTTTAGTTTCTTTTTATTGATTCTCTTATAAAATTTTTGGTTTTAAAGTTAGTAAAAATCAAATTTTTTTTCTGAGGTTATAATTAATTATTGAAATTATAAGTTTGATAAAAAGAATGATGTGTTATTTCTTTACAAAATATTATATTGTATTTTTGTTTCTTTTTACTATAAGATTATGTTATATTTTTTTATTAATATTATATATTTTGTTTACATAAACTCTAATACTTTATAATTAAAACTAATTTAAATTATTAAATATATGCTAACTTCTCATCCTATAAAATATATGTATGTTATACAAATGTAGCAGACCATAATCGACAGAAAAATGGCTGTCGATTATGTATAGGCTATAATCGACAGCCTTTCTGTCGATTATACTAGTATAATCGACAAAAAGGCTGTCGATTATGGCCTATACATAATCAACAGTCATTTTTCTGTCGATTATACTAGTATAATCGACAGGAAGACTGTCAATTATATAAATTGTCGATTATATTAGTTAAAATCACGTATAATCGACAAATAATTATAATCGTAAAAAAAATGGCGATTATAATAGTATAATCGACAGAAAGATGACTGTCGATTATAAATTTGTCGGTTATACTATGTTTTCTAGTAGTGTAAGTTAAACAATTATTTATTTTTTTCACTTGTGTGATAATTTCCTTATACTTATATAGTAATTTCATAATTTTTTTATATTTAAATATATATTATATAATTCAAAATTTTCAATAGTAAGAGTAAAATGACATAATCTTATATCATATCAATATCTAAATATCAAAAAATTGTTACACAAAATTAAAAAAAAAAAGATTATTTAACTTATGTAATCACATATAATTTTACCTTAACACAAGAACTAATTGACTCAAATCTAGATATTTACAGACTTATATATCACTTTTTTAAGAGCTTATATGAAAATATAAAAAAGTCAAGGAGCTTAGCAATAGTTTTTGCTAAAACAAAGCTACATGACATCATGTAAACACACCACCTAACCAAAAAAAATTACATTTTAACTTTTAGCCAACCTCAATTGATCAATACCTAATACTAAATTTAGCCCTTTATTCTCTCTTAAAGATACGCTATCTTTTTTCAAAACTAAAAAGTATTCATTACCGTTCTTGGACAATTTTTTAATTTTCCCTGAGATCTTAAAATCGTTTCCCCATCCATTTCCAATTAACATCTGTTAATTTTGAAATCTTGGCAACTAATTAAATGAGAAACTATTTTGGTTGCAAAAATATGGGGACTACAAACTATCAAAGTGAAGGTTGAGGTCCAACATTTACTTCGAGTCAAAAATTGGGGATACAAAAAATTTACCCATATAACAATAAAACAATAAGAAAACATAAGTTATGCAAAACGTGCTGAAGAACAGTTTAGAAAAGTATGTGAAGTTAACAGTGATGGCTGTGTCCCGTCTGCCACCTTCTTAGGGTGCGCGGAGAAGTTGACGGATGAGAGTCTGAGAGACTGAGACCAGATGGTCCCCACCCTAATAAAGATCTTATCAGACACCACACAGATATCAAGTCAGAAAAAGCCGTGTGAATCCACTCCTTAGTTTTTTTTTCTTTTTAACAAATTCTATTTATTTACATAATTAATTGAGGGAGAAGAAAAAAGATACCGTGAAATTCAAACTGTGTAATTTATTAAAGATAAACAGTTTTAACCAGTTCCAATACCACTGGACGGATCCACTCCTTAGTCTCGTTCAAATTAAGAAGTTAATTTGTATTCTTTTTTTTGATATCATGTTAATTTGTATTCTACTGGCATGTTCAAAAAAAAAAATTTGTATTCTACTGTAGTAGGATAGCAGTGTTAAAAAGTCTGGTTGGGCAAAAGGAGAAAGAAGCTGATGAATATATGTAAATTAATTTTAAAATATTTTAATTAATTAAAAAAATTATTACAGTAAATAAATAATATTATTTTTGTTATTTTATAATTATTTTTTTATTAAATATAATATTTAATATAGTAACTATTGGTATGTTATTATCCTTCTGTCTAAAAATTTCTCTTTTTTTATTATCTAAATTAATATGAAAAGGTTAAATATTATTTTTGATCTTTTTATTATTAAAAAAAAAGTTTTTTGATATTTGTATTGAAATTTTTTTCTTTTAATTCTTACAATTTGAAATTCAATTTATTTTTAATTTTTTTATCAGTTAAATTGCATCGCCCAATAATCCATAAAATATTTTATTTTTTTCTCAACAAAAATACTTGAAAATACAATGATGGTAAATATGATAATGTGAATAGTAAAAAAACATTAAATTATTATAATAATTTTATTAAAATCATTTAATATGTAATATTTAATTTTTTTACTGTTTAAACATAAATAAAATAAAATATTATATTACTGTAATAATTTTATTAAATTCATTTAATATGTAATATTTAATTATTTATTTCTTTTAATCAAATTTAATAATTTTAATTGAATTTTTTTTTACTTTTCAAACATAAATTAGATACAAATTTAACAAATTTCAACACAAAATTTTGTTCTTTCCATCATCTCCAAAATTAATTTTTCACAGCAATTCTTTTCTCCTATTCCTTGACACATTGCAAATTCAAATGAAATTTCTTCCATAATCTTGAGCAATATTGCCTCCCCTCTACCAATTTTGACTAGTACTTAATTATGAAATCCAAAATCAACACATAGAAAATCTCAGATCCAGTACCCGAGCCAAGAATGGTGAAGCAAAAAAGAACAGAAGAAAAGACGCGAGGAAAGACAACAACACAGCAACACGCAAGCTTGGGTTCGCAAGGAACCCAACACCTAGGTTCGCCTTTTCAGATCTGATTCTAGAAGCAAAGGTTTAAAAAAAAAAAAAAAAAAGGCAAGAGGATGGAAAGGATAAGACAGAAAGAGGAAGAAAATAGAGGCAAATTACTGAAGATTTGAGCTTTAATGGAGACGAAGATTGGTGTAAAGATTTGAGGGCTTTGATGGAAGAAAGGTTGGCAAAGAAGAAATCAATGGATGAGAGGGGGATTAGGTTCAGGGAAAGGAAGAGAGGATTAGGGACTTGGGCTTAGGAAGAAGATGAGGACAGAAGCGGGTAATGAAAAGACAAAGGGAAAATAATGATTTTATATATATATATATATAAGAAATGGAGAAATATATTGAATAATAAGAAAATACAGTAAAAAAGAGGATGGAGACTACTAGGGGTCAAGAGAGGGATGCAGCGGCCAGGGCAGACAGCAGCTTCCACTGGCGGCAAGGCTCTAGGCGACGGATTCCAGGTTTTAGTACTTAGTTATCAGGGTAGGTTCAGACATTTTTCTTCTTCAATTTCCCTGAGATGGACACAACAAAGAGTCTCTGGTTTTGCTTTCAACGATTCGGCAAGGTAGTGGATGTTTTTCTGCCGAACAAGAGGGACAAGTGGGGGAACAGATTTGGATTTGTTTGAATGGTAGGAGTGCAAAATGAGGCACAGATGGTGAAAAGGTTGAATGAGATTTGGTTTGGGCTGTATAAGTTGAGGGTGAAGATGGCTGATAGACCATGGAAGCAATTTCCTGAACAGACGAAGGCATCAGGTGCAGAAACTGGGATGCAGAGAACGATTAGATTGGCGCAACCAGAGGCCACTCTTATGCACAGGCGGTTGTGGGGAAGAATAAGTGGGTTGAAAAGCAACAGCCACAAGGTATGACAGCAACGGAGAAGGTATCAGTTAAGAGACATGAGGATTGGGATATAGAGCAAAGGGTATTGGGTGTCGAGAATGAGGGAAAGGGATTGTGTGCAAAGGAAAAGGTACAGGAAAATAGTATAGGTGCAGATAAAGAGTGTATTATTGCGTTTAAGCCTACAAAGGAAGAAACTCAATGGCTGGAAGGGAGCATGGTCGCTGTTTTGAATTCTTTAATGTTAGTGACAAGTATCCAAGAGAGAATGGATGTGGATGGAGGGTTGCTTGCGTTATTTCCATTAGGGGGAAGTTCAGTGCTGCTTCTTGAAAAGGTGAAGGGCTACCTTGGTGAGTATATGGTGCAGAACAGAGAGTTATTCGATACATGGTTTGAATCTATATTACCATGGGCGTTAGCACCGACATGAAGTAGTCGACTGGTGTGGCTGCGGATATCTGGTATTCTGTTGAATGCATGGACTGATAGATGTTTCAAAATGATAAGAAGAACATTCGGGGAGGTGGTGAGGGTGCATGAGGATACCAAATCCAAAGCTGTTTTGAGTGAAGGAAGGGTACTGGTTCTTTGTTCAGCTACACACAGTATTTGGAATGTGTTGAAATTGAAGGTAGTTGGACAGCTACATGAGATACAGGTAACAGAGGAGGGATGGAGATCAGACCCAGATTGGTGGCTATCGGAGGGTGACCGACGGAGTACGACGGGGACATCATCGGAATATTCCTCCACGCATATTGATAGTGAGGATCAAAGATTTATTGATGACGAGATTCTCGGCGAAGATGAAGATAACATCGAATTGGAGCTGTTACAGGAGAATGGAATTTTGAATTCAAAAAGCAAGCAAATTGATGGGGAGTCGCTAACGGGTGGAGATGGGGGTTATGACTGTTGTAATGAAAATGGGTTAAGGAGTGCTAATGGGTTGCTAGAGGATTATAGGGGGTTGAAGGACAATCGGCTTGTGGATGTTAATGGGCTTGTGGAAGTTAATGGGTCAGGAGAAGAGGATGTAGAAAGTTCTTTTAGTAAGATGTCTAAGGACTCAAAGCAAAAAGGGGCATCACGTGATAAGGAGAGAAAGGCAGCAGACTTGTCAGGAAAAAGACATAGAAAAGTGGCAGAGTGCTATCCAGAAGAAATTGCAGAAATCTGGAATGAGAAAGCAGAGTGGATGACGGGACGGACAAACCAGCGAAGACTGAGGCGCGAGAAAGCTAAACTGTTGCTAATGGGTGTGAGTAAGTCGGAGCAACAGGGAGAAGAAGAATCTCTTTCGGATGGTTGTATTGCTCATCGGAATCAAGTTATTCAATGGGAGATTAATATGCAAGAGGTAAAGAAAATGATGTGCACTGGAAAAAGGCTTGGAATGCAGTTCGAAGGTACCAAAGAGGAGGTGGAGTCACGGCTGTTGGAGCTGGAAGAGAGAGATGAAAGCAGGAGACAGAGAGGGTAAGGTTTTTGGGTAGCTGTGGGGTAGTGTGGGTGAAGGTCTGCATTTTTGTTTATGAAGGTTTTATCTTTTAATGTTAGGGGTTTGGGGAATATGGTGAAGAGGAGGGAGTTGGGTAGGCTAGTTCGAGTAGAAAAACCAAATTTGTTATTCCTATAGAAGACCAAATTAGAAGGGGTTGAAGAGGGTTTGTGTAAAAAGCTATGGTACTCAGATGATTTTGATTGGAATATGAAAAGTTCGGTTGGTGCTTCAAGAGGCTTGATCTGTATGTGGGATAAATCATTATTTGTTAAGTTGGGGGAATTTACAAGAGACAGGTACCTGGGGATAAAAGGGCAGTGGGGGGTGAAAAAGGAGGTATGCTTTTTTGTGAATATTTATGCTCCGAATGAAAGGAAGAAAAAAGCTGCATTATGGGATGAGTTGAGGCAGAGGATTGTTGAGGAGGGTGGGCGGTGGATGCTTGTAGGGGATTTCAATGTTGTTAGGAGTATGGACGAAAGAAGGGGAAAAACAGGGGAGAGTGTCGATATGAAGGATTTTGATCTTTTTATAAAGACGGTAAGGCTAGTTGATAGCAAGTTGATAAATCGAAAGTTTACATGGTACAGACCAGATGGCACAACAATGAGCAGATTAGACAAGATATTGATGACTGTGGAAATGAGCAGTATGGGTGGTCAATGGGTGCAACAAGGATTGAAAAGAAATATATCGGACCACTGTGCGATTGTTTTGAAAACAAGGACAACAGATTGGGGACCCAAACCGTTTCGAGTTCTGGATGCATGGCAACATCATCCGAAGTTTAGAAAAGTTGTTGAAGACAAATGGAATGAACTAGTGGTGGATGGATTTACAGGTTACAAATGTCTTCAGAAATTAAAAATGTTGAAGCAATTTCTGAAGAGTTAGAATCAGGATGTCTTCGGGGATCTAGAAACTCAGTTTCAACATGCAGCGAGCACTGTAGAAGAACTTGATATGAAGAACGAAGAGGTGGCATTAGAAAAGGAAGAATTGGAAGAACGACGGCAAGGATTCCAAGCACTTTGGGATATTATGAGGAAGAGGGAATCCATTTGGAAGCAAAAATCAAGATCCAATTGGGCAAAATGGGGGGATGCAAATTCGAGATACTTCCACCAAATTGCAAATGGGAGAAAGGCTCATAACAACATTGTTGGCATTTCGTGTGATGGCAGGTGGATTGAAGAGCCAGAGGTGATAAAGAGAGAGGTGGTTGGGTATTTTCAAAGGGTATTTGCCAATGACTCACAAAATCGTCCAAAGCCTGCTGGAATTGGGTTTAAAAGGATCTCTGAAGAGATGACAGCATGGTTAGAAAGACCATTCTTGACGGAAGAAATTAAGGAAGGGTTAAAGAGTTGTGAGGGAACAAAAGCACCGAGGCCGGATGGATACAATTTTAGTTTTATCAAGTATGCTTGGGGTTGTATGAAGGAGGACTTTGTGAGATTTTTGAGGAGTTTCACCAGAATGGCAGGTTAGTAAAAGGGTTAAACTCTTCCTTCTTAACGTTAATTCCTAAGAAGATGAACCCCATGAAACTAAAAGATTTTAGACCTATTAGCTTAGTTGGTTGTGTATATAAGTTACTGGCAAAAGTGTTGGCTAATAGGCTGCGGGAGGTAATGCCGGAGATCATTAGTGATTCTCAATCTGCGTTTTTGGGAGGCCGTCAACTTGTTGACAGTGTGCTAGTCTTAAATGAGGTGGTGGAAAAGGTTAAGCAACGTAAGCAACAAGCTTTTATCTTCAAAGCTGATTTCGAAAAGGCGTACGACTATGTAGATTGGTCGTATTTAGATTGGATGATGAGCAGATTTGGTTTTGGTGGGAAGTGGTGAAGGTGGATCCGAGAATGCCTTTCAACTACTCAAATCTCAGTTTTGGTTAATGGAAGCCCAACAGAGGAGTTTGCGATGGGGAAAGGATTACGACAGGGGGATCCGTTATCTCCGTTCCTTTTTCTCATGGTGGCTGAGGGTCTGCATGGACTAGTCAAAAAAGCAGAAGAGGAGGGATTGCTACAAGGCATCACGGTGGGTAATAATGGCTTAGCTATTTCTTTGCTACAGTTCGCGAATGATACAATGATATTGGGGAAAGCTAATAGTGAGAGTATTTTTACAGTTAAAACCATTTTGAGATGGTTTGAGTTGATGTCTGGGTTGAGGATAAATTTTGGCAAAAGTAGTGTCTTTGGTTTCAATGTGGCTTCTCGGTGGATTAAAGGGGCAGCAAGTGCTCTCTATTGTGGTGTTGGGGAAACACTCTTTATGTATCTGGGTATGCCGGTTGGGGGGAAGAGTGGGAGCAAGAAGATGTGGGATCCAGTTCTGCATAAATTTCAAGCTAAGTTAGTTGTATGGAAGTCTGCTGTGCTGTCTGCTGGTGGTCGCATCACTTTACTTAACTCGGTACTCTCTGCAACTCCCATTTTTTATATGTCTTTGTTTTTAATGCCAAATTGGGTAGTAAAAAGGTTGATTAGTATTCAAAGGGCTTTTTTGTGGGGAGGGATGGAATTGAAGAGGAAGATTTCATGGGTTAAGTGGGATTATGTGTGTACTAGTAATAAGAAATGAGGTCTAGGAGTGCCAGATTTGCGTCAGAAAAATTGGGCATTGTTAGGGAAGTGGTGGTTTAGATCAGGGGATAGAGTGGAGGGCTTGTGGAAACAGGTGGTATGGGAGAGGTATTATGGTGGAAGGGAGGAAGTGGACATTACAGCAGTGGATACAGTTAGGGTGTCTAGACTGTGGAGGGATGTTCTGAGTATAGGGTTGCGATCAAATGGTTTAAAGAATATGCTGGTGAAGGGTTTTAGATGGGGGGTGGGAGATGGAAGTAGGGTGGATTTTTGGAAAGCGGTTTGGGTGGGGGAGAAGACTTTGAGGGATTTGTGTCCTAGGCTTTTCCAATTGGCGATTCATAAGGATGGTTTAGTTAGTGAAATGGGGGTTTGGGAGGAAGGTAGTTGGAAATGGAGGATTGATTGGAGAAGAGGGAGACGGGGAAGAGAGAAGGATGAGGAGGTTCTGTTGTGGGAGATCCTGGGTAAAGTTCAACTTAAGGAAGGTGTTAAGGATTGTTGGCAGTGGGTGCATGTTCCTGATGGCAGGTTTATGGTGAGACACGCATATGAGCTCTTGGAATCTACAAATCACATTCTTAATGAACAATTATGTAAGTTAATTTGGTGTCGGTTAGTGCCTTCGAAAGTTAGTTTTTTTGGGTGGAGATTATGTCTTGAGTGTCTTCCCACTAAGTTTAGCTTACAAAAAAGAGGTGTGGGTTTGGATGGGGGATTAAGGTGTGGGTTGTGTGATGGGGAAGTGGAAGAGTGTAATCATGTTTTTTGTACATGTTCGGAAGCTTGGTTAATTTGGACTAAGATGCTGCATTGGTGGGGTATGGAGGCTGTAGTGCCGAATAGAGTTGGGGGATTAATGGATTTGTTTGCATATGGGCTGGGTAGGGTGATAGGGAAGGAATTGGGAGCTTGCATCTTTCTTGTTACTGCATGGTATATATGGTTCTGAAGGAATTGTAGAGTTTTTAAGGGAAATGGGGTATCAAGGGATGAGTTATTGGAAATGATTCAGGCCAAGATTTTTTTCTGGGTAAAAAATAAAGTGCAGGGATGTGTTTTCTCATTTTGGAATTGGAAGCTCAACCCGTTGGAAATTGCTGCAAAAATAAGAAATAATAGAAGGCTGATGCGGGAGTTCCATTTGAACCAAAAGGAAAGGGTATAATGGGGCTGTTGGGTGGGTCATTGTTGTAATACCCAAGGATTTCTTACTTAAGATTTAATTAAATTATTTAAGCTCTTAAAGGGTGTATATGTGATAGAATTAAATCTGGGATTGAAATTATAATGATGTAAGGAGATCAGGGACTAGAACCTTATAATTAAAGCTTAGGGACCAATTAACAATATTTCCTTTTTGTAAAAAGCCCCAAATCAAGTGAGTCGACAGTTTCATTTTTCCCACTTTCTTTTTGGGGAAATAGGATTGTCACCTTTCTTCTGCCTGCAAATAGGAAACGGGCTAGGGGTTGGCAGAAATTCTGTAATGCTGCCGCCCACTTTTGAAGGTGCTGTCGCCCATTTGTGAAAGCATAGAAAGGGGCTTACGTCCGATAGATTGCCGGATTAGTCGAATTGAGGAAATTTTAGGGTAAGTTTCCCAATTATGTAATGGTTTGTTCTTAGATCTAATTTTATAATTAAGAATGTGAGTTGGAAGAGGAATTGAGAGAATTTTGGAACTTTATTTCATGTCAGATTCAATTCTAGCAATATAGGCTACGATTTGTAGATCCTTTCAATTCTAATAAAGAAAATAGTACCAAAGTTTTAAATAATTCAAGAGGCAGTGTCGAGTGAAAAATTGATTAATTATTCAGGGTAAGTTGTTATATCCGCTAGTATTATTTTTAAAAGGTTTGTTTTATTGAAATTTATTTTACCTTTTCAGCGTATTTTATATAATTTTATTTGGTTACTATGTCTAAAGAATAAGAATATTTTATAATGAAATGAGATGAATGTTGATCAAGCATTTTGAGTGTGGATTGTTTTCTATCAAAGAGTGGTTTATTAAATTGGAAATAATTTTTCTTTTGATATTGGGTTTTCATGTTCTTGGTTGGCTGGATAAATTAACCCGCTCCTCAGGGGTATACTGAGGGTATTGATAGTAGTCCCGGGATCAATTTATCATGGAGTGTGATGTGGAGTGTGATGTTATATTTGGAGTGTGATGTAGCCTAAAGAACTTGAAATTGTTGTTTCTTTTCATCTAGTTTGGAATGTGATTTCCTTATTGAAAAGTTGTTTACTTTATTTAATTATTATTTCATCGAAATACAATGCTTGATCGAACTAGATGGGTATACTCTTACTGAGCTATCGAGCTTATGCTTTTAAAATCTCATCTCATTTCAGGTACAGACGAGTAAGCATTTGGGGTTGCGTTTGGGAGTGAGAGGCACAACGATTCTAGAGTAGTTCTTTGGTTTAGTTTAAGTTATTATGGATTGTGGAATAATTAGAATTGAAGATCTATTTGCTATGACTTATTGCTATTAAATTTTATGTTGGATTTTATGAAGTGAGGATTAAGTGTTTTGGATTTGACCAACTTCTCGTACATGTTAATGAAGATGGAGTTTCTTATAGAATTTAATTTGACTGCATTTGGACACTAAAAGTTGTTTAGTTAAGGTAGCCTTACACATTTATGGGATCATCCCTATAGATGTGTGGCGTTTGTTACGTCTTGACCTTGGGGTTGGGGTGTGACAATTGTCCAGCATGTACCAAATGTTGGCCTACTTTTGTAAGCCTCAATTCTGCAGTTTGTAGCCTAGTTTGTGTATATGGGTTAGAGTACCCCTTGTATTCTGCATTAATATCATTCTATTCATTTTGCTGATCAAAAAAAAAAAAAAAAAAAAAAGAAAATACAGTAAAAAACTCCATCACATGGCATATGGCCTAACGCATGAGAGCCTAAAAAGTAGAATCAAAAGCATAATCTACAACATAGTAACAGATTTAACTTATGCCCATGACGAATATAGACAATTAAGTAAAGAGAGTCATCTGCAACTAGAGATTACAATTACAATCGTTGTATGGGTTAAATAGGGCTACTAATGTAGAAAGGAAGGTCCCTATGAGCATTGGAAGCTACTGGACGTCCTCACCTAATTAACTAGCTTCTCGGGGAGAACAACGGATTTTGGCAACAAACAATCCCCAAACTATAGGTTGCCATCCAAGCTATTCTTAAAAAATAATCAGTAAGAGGAAGGGTATGGTCCTCCTTTGAGCAGTCGCCAGGTATCCTATTCGTCTGCAAGTGCACTAAAACATGTGCCCATCTGTTCCAATCCTCAACAATCCCTGGCTACCATAGGTTAATAAGGGATCTAGAGTCCCTTTACCAGCTTGAAGGCCATACTGCCCTTGTAGAACACCATCAACTTCCTTCACAGCATGTAAATTTGACCTTCCACACCAAAACCCGCTTATGTCCCCCCACGTAGAACCCAACCGGAATATGGGAATGCCCTTCTCCTTTTTCAATTTGCTCAAGGTAGCATTGATGGCGCCTAAACGCAGCCAAAGCAGGGGAGAATCTGTCTCTGGTTGGCCGGAAAACCCTGTTAATGGCCATTGACATCCACCCGGATCTACGATTACAGCATCAATGTGAGATGGCTTCTCTCTGCACAATTGCTCGCAAAACAGCAAAGCCCACCCTAGATCTAATAATGGCGAGAAAGAGGAAATTTGAAGGTTAAACTCATCCTTCTAGAATAGAGGCAAGCCACCCTTTCTCTCTACACAATTGCGCGCTAAACAGTGAGCCAACCCTAGATCTCTTCGAAACAAATTCATCTCCATCCTCGATTGCTGTATTGCAGGGAGCAAAGCAGGGTTTGGCATTTGTTGGAGGCACGATTGATTTGGACCCAAAAATCAAATAAGCCTCTCCAAGATTGCGATAAGTCCAGACCAACATAAACGGATGAGCCATGGAAAGAACAAAAAGAAAAACAAGGGGAGAAGCCCTGCAAGAAAAACAAGCGCCTAGGCGAGGAGCTCGCCTGTCGCGAGGAAACCCTAGCAGCGACGAGATGATTTTTTCTTTTAATTATTTCAAAACTTATTCATTACATGAAAAATAAATTTTATTATTAATTTATTAATTTTGTAACATGTAATTACACGTTATCATTAAAAAAAACAAAACAGTTAATATATTATTATGTCACATTGCGATTTAATTGATAAAAAACTAAAAAACATCAATTTTTAAATGATAAAAAAAAAGATTTTTAGTATAAAAATTAAAAAAATTAATAATAGAAGAGCCAAACAAAATATTTAACCATATGAAAACTTAAACAAACATATCACCTCAGTTTGTTGATAAAAAATCCATTAGTTTTCCTAAAGTTATTTCGCATCATTAACTACATGACGCAACGTAATTTTAACCTTTTAGCAATATTTCCTTAATTTTTTCTTCTCATCCTGAATAATTAATAATATTATATTTTAATCTTTTAATTATTACTTTTAATTGTTGAATGTATTGAATATATAACGCTTGAATCTAATGATTCAACAGTTTTATACTTAATTATAAGGCATCTTTTTCAACCTTAAAATTATGATTCAAATCCTCACCCTAAGTTATAAAAGATTTTTAAAAAATTCATTAAATATATAAATTTTTTGGACTACATATAATAGTGCCATTCAGGAGAGAAAGCTTAAAGACATAACATGCCGAGGACTCCATCATTCTAGTTTTGCACCCGTTGGGGGAGTCATATGAATATGAAGATCATAGCATAAATCTACACCTCTTTTTTTTTTTTTTTAATGTCAGGGATGACATCTAAATCCCATGTCTATTAAATTTTACAAACCGAGTTTTTTTTATAAAGATGGTCATCACCAATAGATTACGAATGCGTTTTCCTACACCTCTCCTCTTTATTAGTGAAGAAAATTGAAAATTGATTTCATCTAGTCTACTCTATAAGTAACACTCATATTTTATTTTTATTTTTTAACGATACAAGTAGATATTTATTTATTATTAATTTAATATTTTAATTTATTAACTATTTCTTTATTATCATTTTAATTTAAAAAATTTATTTTACTCCGAATTAACCTAGAAATACTTATCAAAATTTCTTTAGTTTTTCTAAAA